AAACGACCCAGATTCCTCAGTTTGTGCTCTTCGACGATCTCCCACATTTCAGGAACAAGCTCGTGGCGTGTACGCAACCTCGTCGTGTGGCTGCCATGTCCGTCGCACAGCGTGTCGCCAATGAGATGGATGTGAAGCTTGGACAAGAAGTTGGTTTCAGCATTCGTTTCGAGGACGTTACGTCTTCAAAGACGATTCTCAAATACATGACCGACGGTATGCTTCTGAGAGAAGCCATGCACGACCACAACCTCTCGCGCTACAGCTGTATCATTCTCGATGAAGCCCACGAGAGGACCCTTGCCACTGATATTCTTATGGGATTGTTGAAGGAGGTTGCTGTGAGAAGACCGGACTTAAAGATCGTTATCATGTCTGCGACCCTTGATGCGCAGAAGTTCCAGAAATACTTCAACAATGCCCCACTGCTTGCTGTTCCCGGAAGAACTCACCCTGTCGAGATTTTTTATACCCCTGAGCCAGAGCGCGATTACGTTGAGGCTGCGCTACGAACTGTTCTTCAGATCCACGCAACCGAGCCCGAGGGAGATATCTTACTCTTCTTAACTGGCGAGGAAGAGATTGAAGACGCCTGCAGAAAGATCTCCCTGGAAGCAGATGAGATGGTGAGAGAGGCGGATGCTGGTCCACTGAAGGTTTACCCGTTATATGGTACTTTACCGCCTGCGCAGCAGCAGAAGATCTTCGAACCTGCCCCTGCACCTACAAGACCAGGTGGCAGGCCCGGACGCAAGGTCATTGTCGGAACCAATATTGCCGAAACTTCGCTGACAATCGACGGTATCGTCTACGTGGTGGATCCTGGATTCAGCAAGCAAAAGGTGTACAACCCCAGAATCAGAGTCGAGTCTCTCCTTGTGTCTCCTATTTCCAAGGCCTCAGCACAACAGCGTGCTGGTCGTGCTGGTCGTACGCGCCCAGGAAAGTGCTTCCGTCTGTACACAGAAGCTGCGTTCAAGAAGGAGCTGATTGAGCAAACATACCCCGAGGTTCTCCGTTCCAATCTTGCCAATACGGTCTTGGAGCTCAAGAAGCTTGGTGTTGAGGATCTGGTGCATTTCGATTTGATGGACCCTCCGGCTCCGGAGACCCTCATGCGTGCTCTGGAGGAGCTCAATTACCTTGCGTGCTTGGATGATGACGGAGAGCTCACCGAGCTCGGAAAGCTTGCTTCAGAGTTCCCCCTGGATCCTGCTCTTGCTGTCATGCTCATCACCTCCCCTGAGTTCTACTGCTCCAACGAAATCCTCTCTCTTACTGCCCTGCTCTCCGTTCCGCAGGTATTCGTCCGTCCAGCATCGGCTCGCAAACGCGCAGACGAGATGAAGGCCCTGTTCGCTCACCCAGATGGTGATCACCTCACCCTCCTCAACGTTTACCACGCCTTCAAGGGCCCCGCTGCGCAAGCCGACCAAAGGCAATGGTGTCACGAGCATTTCCTTTCCCTCCGTGCTCTACAGTCTGCCGACAACGTACGCCAACAACTCGAGAGGATCATGCTGAAGTCTGGCCTCGATCTCATCAGCACTCCATTTGAGAACAAGGATTATTACATCAACATCCGCAGAGCTCTGGTGGCTGGCTTCTTTATGCAGGTTGCAAAGAGAGAGGGCAGTGGAAAGACGTATAAGACTGTGAAGGATGACCAGGCAGTGATGCTGCATCCGAGCACAGTGCTTGGGCATGATTCTGAGTGGGTTGTCTACAACGAGTTTGTTCTTACTACTAAGAATTATGTGCGAACTGTTACGAGTGTTCGGCCTGAGTGGCTTCTGGTATGTTCATCCGACATCCAATTAATTCTTGACTGTGTACTGACAGCTTCTGTAGGACATTGCGCCAACATACTACGATCTTGATACCTTCCCCAAGGGCGAGATCAAGACTGTTCTTACCCGTACAACTGAGAAGATCCGCAGGAAGCAGGCGATGAAGGCTGGAAGATGAGAGGCACGTTAGAAATGAGAATGAATTAGCCTTGGGCCGCTTGCGCCCCGCATAGAGCCGAGTTGTTTTCTGCTGGAGTACCCCATTGAGCGGCAAGGAGTAAATACCAACTGTCGCTTCTAATGCCGACTGGAGAACATGGAGTTTCAAAATGGGTAGACGGCGGCGTCAATCACAAGTAGCCATTGATTGAATCATATATAGACGAGTCATGAGTTATGGCTAAGTAGACGAAATAAATCACTTAGACTCGACTGAATAATTCAGCCAAAATATATCAAGACACCAAACTTTGTTGCTATTAACCGTTGAGAGCGTAACTCATTTGTTAAATGAGGCCACTAGAAATTGATAATTTAGCTTTTGATCTAGAAGGTTTGTGACGTTGGGTGGCGGACAAGGGGTCCAAAGGCGGTATCATTTTAGGTCTAGCGCATACGGCAGAAATATACTTGCATCCCAAAGTTTCGTTCTGTTAGCTGAGAGGCTAAATAATAAGTCGTCCTCCCGCCGCCACCATCTCTCGTTATGTTAACAAGTTTAAACAAACTTATCACACTCAACTCACGAATCCGACTACCATCACTCATACAGACTTCAACCACCGCAATGATGAAAGAATCCAGGGATCGACCTCCCCAAAGGCGCGGGCCATATAACGCAGCGAAGAGAGATATGACCACAACTGGACCAAGGCGCAACAATGCTGCTCCAGGATCTCAACAAGAAGCACCACTTCCGAGAGTGTCTACTCCTCCTTTGGCCGAGCCAGTCCCACTCGACACACCGAGATTTGCGGATCTGGGCAAAGAGAACCTCCTCGACCCTATCCTGCTCCAAACTATCACCGAAGACCTCAAGTTCGACCACATGATGCCGGTGCAGGCAGCGACACTACACGACCTCCTCCAAAAGCGAACTGATGTCCTCGCGCAAGCCAAGACTGGAACGGGAAAGACGATTGCTTTCCTCCTTCCCGCTATCCAAACCATGCTCAACAAGGGCAGACAACAAGGTGGCATTTCCCTGCTTGTCATCTCCCCGACGAGAGAGCTGGCTATGCAGATTGCAAAGGAGGCATCGGCTTTACTCCAGCGTCTCCCACAATTCAAGGTTCAATTTGCCATCGGAGGTACAAACAAGGACAGAGAAGAGAAGCAAATCCTCGGCAGATGTGATATTCTGATCGCCACCCCTGGACGACTATACGACCACCTGAGCGACCAGAGAATCCGCGATTCGTTCAGGAATCTTGATACCCTCGTTCTCGATGAAGCTGATCGCCTCCTGGACATGGGTTTCATGAATGCGCTGAAGGATATCATCAAGTGCCTCCCAGACAAGGAGATGTCCCAGCGCCAGGGCATGCTCTTCTCCGCAACCATCGCACCGCATGTGCAGAAATTTGCTCATCTTGTCCTTAACAAGGAGTACAAATTTACCTCTACGATCCCCAAGGGCGAAGTCAACACCCACGAGCGTGTCCCGCAACTCCTGGTCACTGTACCCACATTCTCCGCCGTCGCACCCGCACTCATCTCATCCCTCCGCTCCGAAATGGCTATCGCCGGCAAGGAGAACTTCAAAGTCATCATCTTCGCCCCCACCGGCTCTCTCGCCGACTGGTACGCCGCCATCCTCTCCTCCCTAAAGGACCTCCCCGAGGTCTCCGTCCTCCACTCCCGCCTCTCCCAATCCAAGCGCACCAACGTCACCGAGGCATTCCGCAAATCCTCATCCTCCGTCCTCGTCGCGACCGACGTCGTCGCGCGCGGCATCGACGTCCCCAACGTCTCCAACGTCTTCCAGGCCGGCATCCCCGCCGACAAGGAATCCTACATCCACCGTCTCGGCCGAACTGCCCGTGCCGGCCGCGAAGGCCGCGCCGTCTTCATCGTCACAGAGGCTGAGTCGTTCTTCCCCAAGTACACACTCAAGGAGATTACATTCGAGACCTCAGCGCCTGATCTTTCCCCCGCTGCCGAAATCGCAGGACCGGCTGCGGCGTTCGATAACAAGGGTAAGGTCTACCAGGCCTGGTTGGGATACTACAAGAACTACGTCAGCGCAGCTCGGGCGGGTCCTCGAGCGGCTCGTGGCTGAGGGAAACCAGTTCGCGTTCGATGCGCTGGTTGCTGGTGAGGTGCCTGGCATCCCAAAGAGCACGGTGGGCAAGATGGGACTTAAGGGCGTCAGGGGCGTGAATATCGTCGCGAACTTTGAGAAGCCCCCGAGAGGAGGTGGTGGAAGGGGTGGTGGTGAGGGACGCAGCAGAGGTTCTGGTGGACAGGGACAGGTTGGCGGTGGCCACGCGAATGCCAATGGTGGTGGACAGGCGCCAGGAGGAGGAGGTGGTGGCGGCCGCGGTGGCGGTCGGCGACCACGTCGAGGTGACGGTAGAGGTGGTGGACGTGGTGGAAGGAGCTGAAGGGAGCGAGGCAATGCAATGACCTGTTAGATGAGCGTCGTTTCTTTTGTTTTTTTCAACGGCAATCCAATAGACGGCATGTTCAGGGATAGAGGATCTGGAGCACTGGATGGGAGGTGGAAGATACCCTTTCCTTGTTTTGTGACTTTCGTTGTATAATTAGACTAGCAGATAGAAAAGTTTTATTTTGGTATACCTGTACGGATGAAGGTCTACTGTAGCTCTATCTCATACAGTGCTTCCTTCTTCTAATATATTTCATTCTTGTGACAGCTACACTGTATAGTTCGCTCTGACACAATGACACTCCATTTCCTCCCTATACAGTTCCATCTCGTAATATCCAAGGAATTTATGCCTCGGCATATTTTTCAAGGCGCTATCTTGAGTACACTACAGGGCGCAAGCTAACTGTCATCCACTCACGATAAGGGGATCGCGGTCCGGACGGTCCGTCTGATTCATACGTGAACTCAACACCACCAATTGAAGCAACAAAAGCAAAAATATAGCATCAACCATCACCTGGTTCATACATCATAGATATTGTCCAGTCAATTTAGCAAAAGTATAAACCACCGAAAACGACAAAAAGATAATTTCTTGCGTCGACCGGGACTCGAACCCGGACCGTGAGCAAACACGTTTGAAGTCCACGTTACCGCAGACCCCAGCTTTTTACAGACTGGGAAGCTCACATTCTACCCTTAAACTATCGACGCTGTTGATTGAAATGAGGGCAATAATTTGGGATTATAGAGGGGGGGAAATTGGGAATCTTTCAGAAATATATTACATCGCGGGTGAGACATTGATTGTGATGGAAGGAGTTATGGTGACGGTACGCATGTTTATTGCTGGGTATGGTGTCACAAAGAGTTACATATACTTAAACTGACTCGTACGCAGTGGATATACTCTAATTTCACCTCTGTACGAGTAAGGAATGACGAGTTTTACCCGTTGGTGTCTTCCATTTGGGCTCTGGATCTGTATATTTCTTGCCAGCAAAAAAGGTCACCAGCAGCGGTCTACTCTTCACCAGCGATCTACAGTATCAAAGCCCTACCCCAGTGATTGGTAATATGGAATTGGCCTCCAAGTCGCCATACCCTGCCGCCATCCGGAGGCAAAATGCGAAACGTGCGGGGCATGGCGTGAGTAATTCTGCAAGCAGGTAGGGTTCTTCCACGGTAGTTCTTTACTAACTGTTCATCAGATAAGAACGGCGGCGGACATCGATCCTCTCGCGGCCTCAGCCCTCCATTCCATCCCCGGATATATTATATAATATATATCTTGAACCCCTCTCACCACCCTACATAGCTAGACAGCATCATTCCATCGATGCTCTAGAAGACTCTTGGTACTTTCCATCTCCACCGGAGCCCCATGGAAACTCCATGGAGAACCCGGCCCAGACACCCCAAGAGCGGATCTAGATCCGCTATCTTGCCTCGCCTCGGTCCGACCATCGGTCTCCTCACCACCAACCCCAGACTCCGAATGAAAAAGAGGGGAGGAGAGAGGGGAGAAGAAGGAGGGGGACACTGCATACGGATATATGTGGATGTCCCGTGTGGGTGATGACCTACTTTTAACACAAAGCTGCCCCCTCCTCCCCCCTCGCCGCGAAGGCCTCACGATCCTTCCTCAGCATCGCGCGGATGGTAGCTAGGATCTGCGCCTTGACATCCTGCACTTTCTCTGGTGCCAAGGCGGTGGCGGGGCCGCCGAGGTATGTGAACAACCCGCTCAGCAAGGCGTCAAACCTGCCTTCACCACCGGGGGTAGCAGGACCCCAGATGTCGCGGCTGGAGTCGCGGATGAGACTCTGCAACTTCCTGAACCCATGGACATCAAGAGACTGCGCCTTCACCTTCGCGATCCCACTATCCAACAACCGCACATCCTTCTTCGCCCTCTCCGGCGACGCAAGAAGTCCATTCGTCGTCGACGCCTTAGGCGGCGACGGCGGCGGCGGAAGCGAGAACGTCTCCGCGCTCACGGAGACTTCTTCCAGTACCGTAGCGGGGAGTGGGGGACGGGGCGTCGTCTCGTCCTCGCCGGCGGAGGAGAAGGGGTCTTCGTAGACCTTTACCGATTTGGCAGGCGTGATGAGACGGGGAGCGGGTTCCTTTTGCTGTGTTGGAGGTGGTGGGCTGGCTGGAGGCGGTGCGGAGGAGGAGAAGGGGAGACTGGTGAGGGTTGGGATTACCATTGTGAAATCCTCGTCTGCTTTTGAGGGGCTGGACATGTAATCACGCGTCTGCGTCTGCGTCTGCTGTTGCGGCCTCGGACGAGGGCTCTCCCGTGCCATCAGCGCTTCCTCCCTGGAAACACGAGGGCTCTCACGCGCTGCTACCATTTCCTCCCTAGCAACACGAGGGCTCTCCCTCACCACCATTTCCTCCCTAGCAACGTTGGCCTCGCGAGTTACACTCACCTTCTCCCGTATAGGACTCGCATTAGACGACTGGCTCGCATGACTAGAATGACTCGTATTCGGTCTCGGCACCGCACTCCGCTTCGGTGACGCCGTCGCCGCGCTCGGCGTGCTCGCCGCCGGCCTCGTCGTCGACGGCGTCGCCGTAGCGTGAGCAGGGCCCTGCCTCACCGAATACGGCCCCGCAGTAGCAGGCCGCGGAGGCTCCTTGGGTCGGAACTTAGTCGGTCGCATCGGCGCAACTGATAGTCCACCATGGCTCGTCGTTGTGCTCTCCGGCCGCGAGCGTCCCGGCTGCGCAGTGGCGGTCGAGGAATTCGACTGTGCGCTCGCGGTGCGCATTGGGGAGAAGGAGGACATTGCTGAGCCTGGGCGGGTTGGGAGAGTCTTAGCTGCCATTGCGGCCTTCTTCTGCGCGAGGAGTGCCTCTCTCAATGATGGTTTCGGCGGGCCGGTGCTCTTTGACATGGCGAGGCCGGGGCGGGCGACGGGGTTGGTTT